GCTGAGTGTACGCCAGAATGGAGAAAAGATTTCTTTTCTCTCTCTTTTTTCTATTTTATTTCTAAATTACAGCTTTTGGCAGATCAGAATCTCAAGTTTATTGATCCATTCTGCAGAATTGCTGCCAAGACTAAGGAGTAAGTAACTCATGTATATTTTTATTGCTTCAGTTGGTGCTTAGTTATGGGGGTGGGTTGGGCTTGTTTTTGTTGCAAGTCATTATGCAGGTTACCTGGGATGATTATCCAGAGCTAAAAAAAAATAAATAAAAAAAAAAAACAGCTAATTTTTAATTCCCATCAACAAGACATTTGATAGTATGACCAGCGACTCAGCTCTTCTAGCTTTGGGGTTTGGACCAGTCATTCCAAGAATGCCCCCACAAGTTCTGTCTTCCGTGCACTCAAGTGGTTCCTGACAGCTACAGTTGGTGGCCCAGAAATGTCGTTAGGGACACAGGTGCTTGCTGACCAACAGGTGTTCACCCCGGGTCCCAGGCAGGTTGAATTTACCCTTGTAGTACTCGCTCTGCTCCTCCGCCCATGCTTCTCTAGGTAGCAGAGTCCAGACCATGTGTTTAATCATGCTCTTTCTGCTTTGCTTTTGCCCTCAGCCATACGCTGGTACAGACTATAGCTAGGGGTGTTTTCGAAGTCATTGTAGATCAGTCTCCTTTTGTTCATGAAGAGATGGTGGAAGAACAAAGAACGAAAGTGAATGACAGTGACCTCTCTGGGGAAGAGATACCAGAAAACAAGATAATTTGCAGAAAAGCAGTTGGTAAAAAAACAGGTAGGAGAATTTCCTTGAATGGGCTTGCTTTCTTCCTTTCTCTTTTCCCAAGTAAAAGTTTTCATCAAACAAGAAATACTTTTGTTACCATCTCACTGAATACAGCCTAGAGTTGATTCGTGGAAGGTAGCTGTGCCTTGAGCCTCTCCCAAGCAAGGAAGCAGAGGTGTATTAAAGCACCTGTGCTCTCAGATCCCTGGGGAGACTTGAGGACTAGTCTCACACAGTTTGTACACTTTTGTCCATTTTGTGGGCTCTTGGGACTTCCTTTGAGGGTTCTATCATTGTCGTTGCTGTTGCTTTTGGGGGGGGGTATTTGAATATTTAAACACTGGTGGACTTGTATCCACAAGAGCATACTCTACAAGAGACCTGATGCAGTTACACTAGGAACGTGCACTTGCATTTATAGCACTCCTTTCTCATGGCTTCCTTCAGGGCTTTCTTGAGCTGCTTGTATACCCATGGTAGACTGACATTGTTCTTGCTGCCGTTTTATGTCTGGAATTTCATGTGGAGTACACAATTGAAATTGCAAGCCCATCAAAACTCGCAGTGGTTTACAGCATCTCGGTGTACAAAATAAGGTGAATGATTAGATCAGCAATTACCCACGCTGCCATTAATAAGCTAAGTTTCCGAGGGCCAGCCCTGTTGCACAGTTGTTAAGTGCAGTGCATAGAGAACTAGATCCCACATGGCTGACTGGTTTGAATCTCAAGCCTGGTAGTTTGCAAAATATGTCAGGCACATATACTGGTGTGCCCATAATCTTGTCAGGATGGAGAAATGGAAGAGAAGTGATTGCAACATGATCAAGCCCTATTTCTTTCTCTCTCTTTCTATCTTCCTCTCGAGCACATGTGGCAGCTGATCATTTTTTAAAAAAAAAAGTAAAAGTACTTCAAAAAGTAATGGAAAGGGTCCAGCAGTGGCTCGGTAGTTAAGGGCACTAGACTCCCACATGGCCAACTGCAGTTCAAGTCTCAGATTCGGCAACTTGCTTTCTCGCTTTCCCTGTCTTTTCTCTCTCTCCTCTCCTCTCCTCTCCTCTCCTCTCTCTTTTTCTCTGTCCCCCTCTGGTCAAATTAAAAGAAATAATAGAGACCAGCAGTTAGCGTAATGGCTATGTCGCTGGACTCCCATGTAGTCGACTGCGGTTCACGTCCTAGACCCAGCAGCTTAAACTCACGCCCCGCGCGTGTGCGTGCGTGCCCAAGATCCTGAGAGGAGAATGGAGGAGAAGGGATTGCGGCATGGCCATCCCCCCTGGGGGTTGATTTCTTGCTTTCTATCTCTCTGTCTCTCTATGTCTGTCTGGCGAGCGCACGTGCCCTATAGCAAAAACCTCTCAAAAAAAAATTTTTTTTAATATATAAAATGAAAGACATAATAAAGTTAGTTAGTTAGTTATCTAAAAGGATAAACCAAAATGTTAATAGCCCTAGGTGACAGAAAATAAAACAAAAGTCTTCCACAGTTAAAAGAAATATTCTAATTTTTAAGCTTGAGACAGATGACAGCATGTAATGACATTGAACAAATCTTATGCAGTCATGGGAGTCAGTCTAGGGACCTTACTGCCCAGCATAATTCTGTCGGACCATCTCACTCTCTTTGATGTGTAACCTGAACTCTCCCAGTTTACTTCATCAGATGCCTGTTGCGCACCTACCCCTGCAGGTCTTATGCTTACCCCACCTTCCCCAGGCCCACATCCTGATGCCACATCAGAAAACATATGCATTTAAAACCGAGCTGCTTACATACCCACTGTGAGTTCTCATTAGTCATTTTTATCTATTTCATAAGCTTTGGATGCTCTGAGTTTTTTGGGTTTTGTTTTTGTTTTTGTTTTTTTAATGTTAAAAGTTGCTTTAATATTAACTTGTGTTTTCTGAGGCAGCCTTATGAAAAGTTAGATTTTTACCCTGGTCTTAAACTGACCTGAAACTAGGATCAGACTCCTGAGGTCCTGTTCCTGCTCCTCCCAGTCCAGGGTAACTTGTGCTTTGGTAGACGAACCTGAATCCCTAAAGTCAAGCTCTTCCCGTTCACATTGACCGCAGTCCAACGTGAAGGCTCTGTGTACTAGGGAGATACCAAAAGCAGCAGAGTTCTGTGGTTTGCTCTATGGCATGATGATGGGGTAGAAAAAGCAAAGTGTGTGCCTTCTGCCTCATTTATCGTCCTTCCCAGGCACTGAACAACCAAACCATCTTGGAGAAATTATAAATGTATTTGCAGGGGTTTTTTCTCTTTATAAAAATTTGCTCTTTTGCTAACAAATACCTAATTAGACAATGGCACCTTTGAAAGTAGTCATTGCTGTTTATTTGATGTCAGGAATTTTATCTTGGATTTGTTTTGATAGCACTGGGCAAATGTCACTCCAGTAAAGATGGAATCAGTGATGAAGGAGAGGGAAATGACTATGGAGCCTTGGAGGACTCAGAGCCACTTCTCCAGGTAGGTGGTAGCTGTTGCTTTTTATAGAATATTGACTTACTGGGGATGGCCTGACCAGAGAATTAGGGTCAAAACTAATTAAGCTGTAATGTCTGAGTGTAAAGTCTCTTTTAATCCCTCAGTCACTAATGTCAGTCACCCTTTGTAGAATGAGCTTATTGGAGACAGAGATATTTAAATATGATAAGATTTTGAAAATTTATTAGCCCTTATTGAAAGTTTTTTAGATTTGAAAGTTTATTAGTCCTCATTACTCGATAAAACAAAGCCAGTGCAGGGGCCAGCAGGTGGCATAGTGGTTAAGGACACTGGACTCCCACATAACCAACTGCAGTTCAAGTCCCAGACCTGGCAGCTTGCTTTCTCACTTTCTCTCTCTCTCTCGCTCTCTCCCCCTCTACCTCCCTCTGTGGTCAAATCGAAATAAATAAATAAAGTTAAATAAAATAATTCTTAAAAAAAAAAAAAAACAGCCAGTACCAATGGCATTTTGAAATGAAAAAAGGTTGCTATGTTTTCAAGCACAGATTGCAAATCTAGATTAAACTTTAAAAGGCACACCCAGGGAAATTTTGCTATGTGTGCTTTACTACAGTTTAAAAATGGGGGTAGGGAGGTAACAGGGAGAGACTCAGGAAAAAATGTGTAACAGACACAAGAATGCATATAAACAGATTAAATAGGTTATAGAACTGTATACTATGACAAAGTTTTCTGCCAATCATCAGAAAACTGGTAGAATGACAATCAGACCTTGGAACATAAGGTACAGTTTTTTGGTGAAGGTGGTAACCTTGATTTGATTACCACACACTGCATACGTGCTTTGAGAACTGATATCATGCCCTATAAAGATGTACAACAATTAAATGTAAATAGGAAATTATAAAATAAAGATGAAAAAAATTTTAAATATAAGGCTGTGGGGCCAGCAGGTGGCATTGTGGTTAAGGGAGCTGGACTTCCACACAGCTGACTGTAGTTCGAGTCCTGGACCTTTTCTTTCTTTCTCTCACTCTGTCCTTCTCTGGTCAAATTAAAATAAGTAAATAAGTACATAAACTAAAGTTAAATAAAATAATTATTTATATATATATATATGTCATATATATAAAGGTGGCAGGACCAG